TTGCTGGCATTCGCCGAGGGTTTGCCCCAACGCATTGGTGCCTGCACGGGCACAGCCTCGTTGTGGGGTGGTGCCTTTGAAGATGGGGCAGTGCGCCTTGGTGCGGCAACTGGAAGTTGTATTTTGTGTCTTCTGGTGCCCAAGGCATCGGCGCGCCTTGAGCACAAGTGCGGTCACGGGGCGTCTCCGCGGATGGCGCGTCGCGTGGCCGTTACTTCATTTCTGAAGGCTTGGCGGAAGGGGCTCAACTTGCGAGGGTGCGGCGGCCGCGGGGCCCTAACTTTTGCCACCTTGTGCGTTCACGACGTGGGCCCAGGTGTCGTGGGTTGGTGTGTGGAGCAATTGGCTTGCTGGTGTGTGGGTGCGTGATGGGCCTTGCCCGAGGTGGGAAGGTGCTTCCGCTGGCCCAACTATGCTTTCCTTGTTTTGACCTTTACTGCTGCGAGGGGTGGGGGGGGGGCGCAAGGACCCCTACCAAGCGGGTTCTTCTCGCGGATGTGTGAGGTGGTCATAACGTAGTTTTTGCCATTCTCTCCTGAAGAAGGTTCTTTTATTATTGTGTTTACTTTTGTGCGTGCCTGCTCCAGTGGCCCCTGTGTGTGGGTGTGGAGCCGTCCCCTTGCTTTCTGAAGCTGGCGTACCAACTTGCAAAATGGTGGCGGCCTGGAAGCACGGTGCGGCACCTGGGCCACGATGAGGCCATCTGACATGTTTTTCATTCAACGACTGTACGAATGTAAAAAACGAGCTTGTTTTCCCCTTCGCTCCCAGAGGCAAATGTCTGCGTTCGCCCGCACGGGGGGAAAAACATGACATTTGGTCCTGGTAGCGTGACTGCACGCAGTGCGTGGCTCCAATGAGCGCATGCCTAATTTTTTTTGCCCTTCTGAATTCATGCTTCCTTCAGATAGTTATTGAAGACAGCGACGAAAAAGCCATGGTGCAGCAGGTGGATGATTTGTGCCGCATGCGGATGCTGATGGCCGGCGTGTATGTCGGGCTCGGCATTTCTTCCACGTACGGATTCAGCATCTTCACGGATCATCTGAAGACGAAGTACGGGTATTCGCAAAGCGAAGTCACGACAATCAGCACTGTCGGCACCTGTTTGAACTACTTCAGCTTTCAGGCTGGACTGATGTTTGACTTGGTGGGCCCCACTGCCGTGTTTCCGATTGCTGGCCTTCTGGGTGGCCTGGGCTTCTTATTGTTTGGGTTGACCTTTGACGGCACGATAAAAACCTCGAGCGTGGGCCTGTTTGCCCTGTATCAGGGGATCACCCACCTTGGCCTCCCGGCGATGGACGTGTCCGCTGTCATGACTCTGATGCTACAGTTCCCCTTGGATCGCGGCTACATTGTTATGATCATGAAGGTGTTCAACGGGCTTGGCACCGCGGTGCTGATGGCGTACTTCAACGGCTGGTTCAAGGCGGCTAACTCCGAAGACCCGGAGGACAACAACTACTCCGCCTACGCGTACTTTGTTGGGGCGCAGATTCTGTTGTGCGCCCTCGTTGGCGCGTACTTCACGCGGATGCCGGCGTACTTCCCGTGCGTGTGGAGAAGGAGCCGTCTGAGCGCCGAGGAGCTCGCGGGGCGGGAGAAGACGCTTGACCTGTACATGAGCCAGCATGCCCCCTCGCGGCGTCTAAAGATCGGTTTTGCGCTTGTCATCGCCATGATGATTTTCTCCACCGCGCAGTCGATTGCGACGGCGTACGTGAAGACGTCCCACGCGGGGTACTTGGCGATTTCCATCGTGGCGCTGCTGCTGATGGCGTCGTTCTCTGCGATGGCGATGCCGTTCCAATTCCTGGGCCGCTACACCCCCGTGAGTGCAACGGATATGGACTGTATCGGAGAAGCGGCCACGGAGTCGTCACCGTTGGGCGACGCCGTTGGTAAGGGCTCTGAGGTTGAAAGTGGCAAGCACTGCACGAATGAGGTGGCTAGCCAGGCACCGCAGTACGATGGTTCCTTCTGGGCCCATCTGCTCTCCATTGATATGTGGGCAATGTGGTTTTCTTGCTTTGGCATGTGGGGCACCGGCACGGTGATGCAGATGAACGCCGCCCAGATTTATCGCAGCAAGAACTACGGTGGGTTTGACACCCGAACTCTGACGCTGTACGTCGCCATCATGTCTGTGGGCAGCGCCATAGGACGCATCTTCATTGGGGTGTTCGATATCAGACTTGGTGTGCTGCGCAATGCGGGCAAAACAAACCTGCTGACGACTGTTGTGCTTCCGTTGGGCCCCCTGCTGATGGTGGTGGCGTTCCTCTTCTTTGCCGTTCTGCCCGGGAGCGTGTTACTGCTGCCGTTTTTGCTTGCCTCCATAGGGAACGGCATTGGCTGGGCGGTGGCCGTCATTGGTGTTCGGATGATGTACTCTCGTGACATTGGGAAGCACTACAACTTTATGTACACCTCTGGGGCTGCCGCGACCATCGCTCTGAACCGCTTCATGTTCGGGGAGATGTACGATGCTGAGGCGCGCAAGCGTGGCAATTCCACCTCGTGCAACGAACCTGGGTGTGTGCGAAACCAGATGTTTATCCTGATGGCCGTCAACGTGCTCAGCACGTGCACCGCTGTGGTGGTGCACTGGCGGTTTTCTCGCTTCACTCAGGCGAAGCTGGAGGAACAGAGGGCGGCGGTTCCTCAAGAGCAATGTGAGCAGGACGTGATCGAGGCGAATTCAGCTGAGCCGATTCCCGGGGGCGATCATATGCGCTCGTAGTAACTGCCTCCCCCCCCCCTTTTTTTTTTTTCGCTTTCAATCACCCTTCTCCACTTTTCTTTTTCTTTTTCAATGTGTGTTTTTTTTTGTCTCACTTGGTGCCGCTGGCGTGAGTGCGAGCACTGGCGTGTGCGGGGGCTTCGGTGACCAGGGACGTTCGTCCCTCGCCATCACTGCCACTGCTATCAGTGACACCACTGCGCCGCGCTGCGGGTGGAGACGCACCGTGAAGACGGAAAATCGGGCCCCATAAGCACCAATAAGGGCACCAAGGAACAATGGAATATTTATTCATGTAAAGGGTACAAGTAGCGCGATGTTAGTGCTAGAGAGTACCGTGGGAGTAACACGATAACTAACGCGATGGAAAGGCTGCAATAATATAAAAATTGTAATGGGAAAGAAACTCAATAAGCACAAAAAAACGAAAAAAACGATTGAAGTAACTATGCCTGCCAGTCGTCAAGTTGACCGTCGTGGCAGAGGCAGGGGCCACTCCTGCTAGGGCCCGCGTCGACTGCGGTTGTGGGTGAAATTTAAATATTTTACATTTTTTTTTGATGTCCCGTCCTCTTCACACCCAGCCCCGTCGGCGGCCTGTATGTAGAGGGGGCGGCGCGCGTCATTTCTTACTTTTAAAGCCTGTGGATGGAGTCTGCGGCCAGGTGAAACTAAATAAATTTGTGAGCGCCTGACTTGTCGGCCCGGTTTCTTCATCCATAGCCTCGTTTGGACCCCAAGGACGCCGCGGCGGAAGGTGGCAAGCGCAGTCTTTGTTTTCTTCTTTTCCTTTTTTTATTTTTCTTGCTTTTTTTTTGTCTGTTCTCTATTCGAGTTTGGCGGATGTTCGTCATACTTCTCGGGAGCGGAAGGGGGGGCTTGGCTCGCACTTTTTGTAGCGGCACGTATGCGAAGCGGACCCCCACCGACTGGCCTTGAAGTCAGTGGCTGCCGATGGCCTGGTCCTACCGTACGCGGAGTGCGGAAACGGTGGGCCGAACCTGCGGTCTGCGGGAAGGCAGCTGGCGTTGCGCGCCCCACACTGGCCGCAGTCTGGGGCGTCTTGTCTCGCCCTCGCATTGGCGCGGTGCGGGCGATTGGGGAGGCGGGGTTTGTCGCATGTGCCCGGGCTTGCGACGCGACCATCGACTACTCCGGCCCGGGGGCGACTATCTGCTCTTTTCTTGGCTTGCGAGCCGTTTTTTTTTTTTTCGCACTTAGCGGCACTGAGTGCTGCCTCTGCCCGTTCCCTGCGCCGCCCGCCTCCTCGGCGCCCCTGGACTGTGGCTACGATGGGGGTTGCCGCCGCCAACCGGGCTGTGCGCCGCGGCAATTTTGGAAATCCACCTGAAGCCGCACTGTGTTTGTTTTTTCAGGGCGGTGCGCCGGCGCATGTCCACTTTGAGTTGAGGGAGTCTCCTCGGGCGATCCTGGTCTTCGCTTTTTCCCGTCACCTGTCAGTTGTGGCTTCGCGGCGCTCGCAGGATTCCTCTGGGAGTGAGCGGAGCGCCATGAACAAATCATGCGCACCCGGCGACTTGCCTCGCCACGGGAGCGGCGTCACACGGTTGTTGCGCGCTGCCGCTTCCGGCTGGTGCGGGCGTCGAGGTGGCCAGGGAACCGCTGCGGTGCTCCCCCAACCCTTCTCTCATGCAGGCGGAAGCACGGGCCGTTTTTTCTTGCCTTGCTGGCATTCGCCGAGGGTTTGCCCCAACGCATTGGTGCCTGCACGGACACAGCCTCGTTGCGGGGTGGTGCCTTTGAAGATGGGGCAGTGCGCCTTGGTGCGGCAACTGGAAGTTGTATTTTGTGTCTTCTGGTGCCCAAGGCATCGGCGCGCCTTGAGCACAAGTGCGGTCACGGGGCGTCTCCGCGGATGGCGCGTCGCGTGGCCGTTACTTCATTTCTGAAGGCTTGGCGGAAGGGGCTCAACTTGCGAGGGTGCGGCGGCCGCGGGGCCCTAACTTTTGCCACCTTGTGCGTTCACGACGTGGGCCCAGGTGTCGTGGGTTGGTGTGTGGAGCAATTGGCTTGCTGGTGTGTGGGTGCGTGATGGGCCTTGCCCGAGGTGGGAAGGTGCTTCCGCTGGCCCAACTATGCTTTCCTTGTTTTGACCTTTACTGCTGCGAGGGGTGGGGGGGGGGGGCGCAAGGACCCCTACCAAGCGGTTATTGTTTTTTTTGTTTTTTTTTTTTGGTTACTGTTGTTGTTTGTCTTCTTTTTCCTCTGTCTTGCTTCGCTTGATGAGAAAGAAATCATATTCTAGCAACTTTAGTTCATCAATTTCCTGGAATACGCCGGTGTGTCTGCTTTAGCGTGGTTTTGGTGTTTGATTCTTTTTTATTTTTATTGGTATAGACACACGCATTCCTATTTTTTTTTTCTATGCTCCCTTTGATGGTTGCTGCTTTCGTCGTCGTGCTGACGCTGTGGCTGCTTTATTCCAAGGGGTTTCTTTACTCTGGTGACGCGGTGGCCCTGGATGCGTCGAAGTTTCAGTCTTTCAAGCTGGTTGACAAAATATCTGTGAGCCACAACAGCTTTATCTTCCGCTTTGCCCTGCATTCACCCACGCAGCGGCTTGGACTTCCCATCGGACAGCACATCTATATTCGGAGTGCGGTTGTTAACGCAGATGGAAAGTCAGAGATGGTGCAGCATGCGTACACACCCGTT